TGGGCGTACGAGTCGTCCCCTTTCAATATGGGGGCACTTCAGCACTGGGAGGCCGGGGAGGCGGACAGGGCTTACAGAGAGTTAGTAGTATAAAATTTGTTGTGTTTTTCTTTATTAATTAAAATATAAAGTTTATTGTAATATATTTTTGTAATTCTGTATAAATGTGTAAAATATTTATTTAAATATACTGTAGTTTCAGTGATAATAAAATTATTTTATGTGAAAAGTTGTTGAAAAAAGTTTGGCAACAGTTTTGAAACTATTTTTGTAGACGTTTTCTATGAATGAAAGCGTGAATTGACTTCNGTATAAATGTGTAAAATATTTATTTAAATATACTGTAGTTTCAGTGATAATAAAATTATTTTATGTGAAAAGTTGTTGAAAAAAGTTTGGCAACAGTTTTGAAACTATTTTTGTAGACGTTTTCTATGAATGAAAGCGTGAATTGACTTCTCATTGGATTTGTGTTTATGTTTTGATTTATGTTTTGATTTATGTTTTGATTTATGTTTTGATTTATGTTTTGATGAAACTTTCATTTCAATTGTGTTTAAAGTTTCGCTTATTTTGAGCATAAATTGTGTTTTAATTGCAATTAAATTAGTGCTCAAAATGAGTGAAACTTTTGCGGATTTATCGCAATTAAGTCGCGAAGAGTTGTATTCATTGGTAAACGGATTAAAACGAGAAAACAATCGGTTGTCAAACGACTTAATCGGATATGAATTGCTGTCAAAGAGTTGTGGAAAATATTTAACAGATTTACTGAATATTAAACAAATTTCTTGTCATTTAATACAAAAAATCGGAGGTTTTGTGTCAACTAATGGCACACAAAGTCATATCACTTGCGGATCAACTGATGGCCAGACAGTAATCGGTGGAAGTGTTGTCACAACTCGTGAATCAAATGGTAATCAAATGAATGGCTTTTCAATGAATAAAACAATTATTTTATTTACAATTCATTTGATTTTCATTTCATTTATCAGTAGTTTTGCGGACAAGTGTTGACCACAAGAATCAAGAGTCCATTGAATGTGAAGACTGTGGATGCGATGGACACGAAGTGAGTGATGATAATGAAGACCCGATTGATGGACACGACTCACGAGGAAGTGATCATCAATTGAATGACACAATCGTTAAGAACACTAAAAGTATGCGAATTAGAGGAAAGTCTGTTCACAACACCAGAAGAAGTGATAAACAATTGAATGCAAAGAAAGTTAAGAAAAATGTGACAAAACATGTGATGAGTAGACGGTATGTATTTCGTGGTGTTTTTGATAAGCAATTAATAATCAATCGATTCATTCACTCAATGGACAGACTATTCACGTGTTCAGTCAATGGATGTCTTCAGAGGCTTTCCAACAAACCAGATGTGATTCGACATGAGTTAAGACTACATCCCAATGACTTCCCGGACATACCATGGATTAGGTGCCGATATACTGGCTGTCAGTATAGGACTAAATTCAATACTGATATGAATTGGCACCAGAAAATACATTCAAACTCTTATGAATGCCAACACACGGGCTGTCAGTTTAAGACTAAATATAAACCAAGTTTCAAACGACATATTCAGACATATAATCACAAAAAGCTACCGAAGCTCTCGTGCGATGGGAAAGGCTCTCAAAAGGTGTCTATCGGAAGGCAAATCAAGTGTTCAGTTAAAGGATGTTATCAAAGGTTTCAAAGTAAGGGTTACTTAACTAAACACGAGTTGAGACAACACTCAGATGCCTTTCCCGACGTACCATGGATTGAATGCCAGCGTAAGGGCTGTCAGTTTAGGTGTAAACTCACGGACGATATGACTGTACATAAGAAAATGCACACAAATCCCGGTAAAGTGGTTACCCGTCGGTGCCGATCGACAGGTGTGAATGACATTAATTTTGGTTATTGAGTACACTTTTAATAGGTTTTATTTATTTTACAGAAATTACTGAATTAACTGATAGACAACTGGATAGTGACTTAAATCGTGAGAACATTGACAATACTATTGGTAAATAAGGATTAATTATAAGAATTGTTTTATTTCTATCTATTTTTTATTTTATGTGTTTTGTTTGCAGTGAATGTCAAACACGAGTCAATTGACGACAATATCATTGAACCCAACGTTAACTCAAACTTCAAACTAATGACTGATTTATTGTTAACTCAAACAAAACGGGAAGACATATAACTTAGTTACTGTATATGATATAACTATTAAAGCATTATATCTGTGATTAACATACAGTACTGTATATATTATTAGTTTAATTAAAGTCAATAAACAATATAATAATTGCTATATTTCTATGCGTTTATATTTGGCGCACTCATAGTGTGCTTATCACGTGATTTGTGTTATGGTTTGCAGTGAACTGTCATTTCATTTGTAAACAAAGTTTCGGTGTTTTTGCGAATTAATTGTGTTTTAATTGCAATTAAATTAGTGCTCAAAATGAGTGAAACTTTTGCGGATTTATCGCAATTAAGTCGCGAAGAGTTGTATTCATTAGTGAATGCATTGAAACGTCAAATCAATTGTTTGTCAACAGATTTGACGAAATGTTCGCAACTTTTGGCAAAATTCCGCAAATATTTCGCACTTTTCTCTGATTTGACACATGAAACTTTTGCAGATTTATCGCAATTAAGTCGCGAAGAGTTGTATTCATTAGTGAATGCATTGAAACGTGAAATCAATTGTTTGTCAACAGATTTATTGAGATATGAATTGATTTCAAAGAAATGCCGAAAATATTTAACAGATTTACTGAATGTTAGAGAAATTGATAGACAATTGACTCAACAGTTATTGAATTATATTGAGTTGTGTTGTAATAAGTCTTCCGTTTCTATCATCCAATCAATTGATTATCAAAAGGCTTACAAATACTTATCCAAAATTTTGCCACAATTTGATTGCCAGCGAAAAAATGGTGATAATAATGACGACAATGACATGAATGAAGAGAAAAGCAATTCAATGACAAAAACAAATGAATTGAAAGCAGAAGAAGTGGTCGAAGACAGCGAATCCAATGGCAATGAATGCGATGTCAGCCACGAATCAGACGACGAGATAATCGACGAAAACAACGAAGAGTTGAGTGAAAGTCAAGACTCGAGAGGAAGTGATAATACTTTGAGTGAATCTAAGGCTACGGAAAAGGTGTCCAAAAAGTCTAGCGTTTGTGTCAACCAATCAAACGCTACTCCAAAGGGAACGGGAGGACAGTATAGATCTGTTAGGAAGCGCTGTCGTAAACAACAGTTCCCACTCTTGACTCAATTAAATGACCACAAACTCAGTCATAGCTATGAAACGGACGGCAAATATGTTTGCGATTACAAAGAGTGCGGCAAATCATTTGACACCGAACTCAGTCTTGAGAAACACCACCTATCGGTCCACAAGTCATGTCGAGTTTCTGGCGTTAAACGCCTTTTCTGCGATCACCCGAACTGTTCCCAACACTTCTTGTCCAACGCTTCGCTATCGCTTCACAAGAAGTTCGGTCATCACGTGTTGGGACAGCCCTTCCGGTGCGGACACAAAGGATGCGATTACACGACGCCATCGAAAGAGGTGTTTGTGAAACACTTGACAGATATTCATGAGATGATAGTCCCGGAGCCTAATAGTGGACGATATGTCTGCGATTGGGTTGACTGCGGGACGAGGTTTACGACAAAAGAGGGCCTCAATAGACACAAAGAGCGCCACAACTCCACTGCGAGCTACCGGTGCGATTGGGAGGGCTGTTCGGCTGTGTCTAAAACCGCGCGCGATCTCAATTCACATAAAAAG